TGAATCTCTTCATTCTTAGATATTATCAAAAATAGAAAAGGAAACTCATTTCTTTGGTGCATCAGCTTTTCTATCTCCTTCAACCCTTTGTGCTAAATGAAGCAAAAGGAAGAAAAGTCCACGGATCAACCCATCGTCTCCACCCCATAGGAACTACGAGATCACTTCAAGGATGCCTTTGGTATTCAGGGGTCGCAGATTGACCATAGAACCCTGTTCAATAAGTGGAACACATTAGCTGTTTGCTATCCGGTTGGACAGTAAGTCTGGAAAAGGACAATCACTCATTCTCAAAACCAGCATTCTTAAGACCAAAGAGATGGGCGGAAAAGAAGGGAAACCTCTTCATTGCTGGTTCTCCTGTAGCTGGATTCTTCAGAATCACAAGAATCCTCAGTTAAAATAGGATTCCAACTCAGTATCTTTTGGGATTTTGAGAACGGTAACATATATTTAAAATTTTGCACGTTTTTTAAGAACTTGCTCAATACAAATTCAAAATATTTTAGCAGTTTTCTTTTAATGGATCCAAGTGTAAGTCAAGTTATGATAACTTCCTCGAATAATTTCTCGATTTTCATGATACTACCTCTTCATAGCACGTGAATCGACACGATATAAATTTCCTTTTATTTTTACTTTTAACATTTCCAAACATTTTGAAACGAAATCTTGTGTATATCTAAACACAAACGTCTTATTCTTTAACCATCCAAAGCCAAATAGCAAACCTTCTTCCTTTCAAGCTTTGAGTTGAATAAAAAGAAAAGGCAAAGGCGACAGACAACCAACACAGAGAGAAGATGAGTATGCCGCTTGGGCAGTTTGAGCTCCCTGTAGATATAGACTTGTCATGAAAATGGAGGGAAAAATATGAAGGAAATAAGAAGAAAAATGGCCAAAATGAAAGCAAAGCTATGAAGAAAAAAGGAAAGGGATTTTGAAGGTCTCTCGTTGTGATGCCTTTTTCAAAGTGGGGACATCAAATGAGACATGAGAGAGTGGGTGTTGGCATGCAATGTCAGGGCTGTGTCATTAGCCACTGCACCACTCTCAAAATTCCAAACCCCAAAACTTCTCTCAAAAAACCTTCGGTTGATGTTTGAAATGGCTGAAAATGGAGGAAAATCAGCCAAGACCCAGAAGAAATCGAGGCGAATTTGAGGTAGAAATGGGTTGTTTTTGAAATTTGAAGATAGATTCAAGAACCCCTTTGAGGGTTGTCGCTGTTTTGGGCGGTGGTGGCCCATGGCGCAAGGTAATCGATGTGCTAATAGCTGAAATGTTGTGGCAGGGAGGTTTTACAGGCACTTTTTGAATCCCACCCTCACCCCCTCCACTTTATTTTCCCCAATAGGTGACACTCCTTATACACAAAAACAAGTAGATTGAATTGAACATCAAACTTTGAGGGTAAACTATCTTGGATTATTGAAGAAGACAAAGAATGCGGAGAACCCATCAAAAACTGTCCCATTGCTGATTGGGGAACGAAAATGGAGGATTAAACGAGTGAGTAAATGTGAAATCATCCAACCCCATCTCCACTACAACGATTTTCGGGTTCTTAAGGGTTTCGAATCGTTTTTGTTTGGTTGATTTTTCCTCGTTTGGTCGAAGATTTTGTGCTTCCGACTGGCTGAGATGCCGCGGCCAGGCCCGAGACCGTATGAGTGCGTGCGGCGAGCTTGGCATAGTGATAGACATCAGCCGATGAGAGGTTCCATTATTCAGCAAATTTTCAGGTTCTGGGTCGTTTTAAACTTGGCTGATTCTCTTCGATTTGATTGTGTTTTTCTTGTTCTTGTTCTTTTTGTGCATTTTGGTGAGTTGCACACCATGTGTTTGATCAGAGTTGTCAATGAGAATCATAGCCCTGCTACTAAAAAGAACAAGGAATGGCAGGAGAAATTACCGATTGTGGTTTTGAAAGCTGAAGAAATCATGTATTCTAAAGCTAATTCTGAGGTATTTTCCCCTTTTTCTCTTCTGGGTTTTGCTCCAATTTGGATCTTGTTCTTGTTTCAAGCTTTGGATTTCGTCCATTTAATTTTGCTTAGGTTGAGTACATGAATCTTGAGACAGTTTGGGAGCGTTTGAATGATGCTGTTAATACCATAATTCGAAGAGATGAACACAGTGAAACTGGTGAGCTTTTGCCTCCCTGTGTTGAAGGTATAAACCAAATGGTTTCATTTCAAGTTCTTGGATCTAATCATTAAACTCTGCTCTCCAATGGTTTGGTTTGTTGTTTGTCATTTGTTTTGCTTCTTCTCTGTGGTATTCAGCTGCACTAAACCTCGGCTGCGTTCCGGTACGAGCTTCTCGGAGCCGACGCCATATGAATCCCAGGACATATCTTACTCCAAGAACACAAGAACCATCTACTCTTGCTACCACATTGGATAAAGCTACCGATGAAAGACGCCTACCGACATCGTCGTTACGCCCGAGCAACCAGTTGAGTTTTCCACGAGCCACGGCTATGAACTCGAGTATGTTTGGTTCTGAGCATAACAGCCCTACCATTCCAAGTAACCCTGCTTTCTTGATTGAGAATGTTCACAATTACAACTATTCAATGACTGACCTGGGATCTGTTTATCCATTGTATTACGGAATTCGTTTTCGAACTGAAGAGCCGAACCTAGGCTCCCTGTGTTCTGTAGATGCCAACCAACAGACGATATTTTTGGGTAGACCGGTCGTGTCGAGTGCAGAGCCTGCTGAGCTTAGTCTTTGCGCTCGTAAAACTGGAAATGCTATGAGCAGATTCCCATCAGAAGTTATCACAGACACAGAATGTGATTTATCTTTGAGGTTGGGAGTACCTTCCCAGCCATGTGTGAGTACTGGGCAGCCTTGGGCTTCTGAAGCTGGAGACATTGGTTCAAGCAGTTCCCATGAGCGGAACAAGTTCCACGATCGACCCATTTACGCAACTAAAGAGTTCAGTTTTTTCCCTAACAGAACCTCGTTCGATCCGTTTGGTTCCTTCTCAAATATGTGGAGCTCAGATTGGAGGGGTCAGAATCCAGAATCTTTCACGAAAAAGCGCAAAGAGCCCATTCGTAGCGACGAGGAGGACGAACCATTTTGTTTTCCACCCGAGGCTCCATCTAACTGGTTTGACCGTCGAACGAAAAGACCAGGTTTGTAGACAGTTTTTCCATGATGTCGTACTGTCACTAATGAGAACTATTCCTTTTGTAGCTTTAGTTGAAAATTTATAATATTTTGATCAAGGCCTTCCTAACATGAGTTGAGTGAACCATTAACCAACACGTTTAGAGTAGAAACCCGAACAGTATGAACACTTGAGCTTATAGAACGATAGAAGTGAATGCAATCTTGAGCTTATAGCTTTCTTCGTGATTACAAGTTCAAACTTTGGTATCATTTATCTAAGATATGAATCATATTATAAAGTTTTCGATACCCCGTATGTCACAAATTTTTTCCAGTTACGAGGCTTAGCTTGTTGTAGTTTATATCGAAAGCTAATATCGAAGCTCTCGATCTGCTATACGATTACTGAAGTTTGTTGATTCATGTACTTAAATCTGCTTGCCTTGAATCATGAACTGGGTAGCCATTTGTGTCATAGATTAGGATTGTTCTTATGAAAATATTGGCCTCATTGATTAGATTTGTGTAGCGGAGAGTCGGAGAGGGGAACATAGCATTTCTTATACATGAGAGGAAGACCGAAAGGGAAAGCCTAAAAAGGACAATATCTGCTAGTGATGAGCTTGAACTGTTACAAATGGTATCAAAGGTATACATCGTGCAGTGTGCTAGTGAGGACGTTGGGCCCCCAAGAGAAGATGAGTTGTGAGATCCCACATCGGTTAGAGAGGGAAATGAAGCATTCCTTACAAGCGTGTGGAAACCTCTCCCTAGAAGATGTGTTTTAAAACCTTGAAAGGAAGCCCGAAACGGAAAGCTTAAAGAGGACAATATCTGTTAGCGGTGGACTTGAGCCGTTACGAAAGGATTAATATGACACACTGTTGACTAGCTCCCATTCCTCTTTATGGATGTATAAATGGCAAAGCTTAAGGGAGTTTCTTCCCTACATTAAAGAAAACTCTCAACTTAGGGACAAGAACGAGAACCGTACTCTAATGACTCCCAAATGAAAACATCCTAAAGTACAAGCTCACTGTTAATAAATATTGCCCTTTTTGAACTCTTTTTTTTCAGGCTTCCTCTGAAGCTTTTTAAAATGCGTCTACTAGAGAGAGGTTTTCACACTATTGTAAAGAATGTTTTGTTCTCCTTCACAATCAAGATGGGATCTCACAAGTAGTAACATGTTCGAGGCCACAAACACTAAGCAACAAAAAGGTACTTAGTTGAATGCTTTGCTTCGCCCTACAGCTAGTGGAGACACCGATTGATAAGATTGATGGAGACCACTTCGCAGACTTTCACGCTCACAAGGATTGAAATTGTAGACATTGGGTAGACCAACGTTCTAGCTAACAACTGAACTAGCAAAAGGATCCTTGCTTCGGGTCCCCTAACCATTTGTTGATTTCATAAATCATTGGAGGTTCACGAGTTTTGCTTGCAAAGATCGTCTCACTGAATTATCTACCGTGAAGATGTGCATTCATGACATACATCGAAGACTTTTGTACACCCTCCAAGTTATAAAACATTGTACCTCTGAAAAGCAACCAACTCGAACACGAATGACTTAAAAAGAACTTTTGAGAAAATCTATCTTTGTGAACACATCAATGTGGAAAAACTCGATGATTCAAAAGAAGTTGAACAAATGACTTATGCATTCAATCACATCAATCAAGCTTTCAATTACTCGACTTTTAGCCTCCAAAGACTAAACGTCCCTACATCGAGAAACGTATAGAAGGTTCATTGTTTTTTTAAAAGGAATTTAATTAAATTATTGTCAAATAATTCACTTAAAAACAAAGTAGTAATCTTATTATAAAAACTCTCAAATTTACATCAACCAATATAAAATTCACACGTGTAATAAAATATGATAAAATAAATAAAATCTTATTATAAATCTAATAAATACGAAGACCAAGAAACCCTAGCAAAAATTTAGATTAATTAACGCCGCGGCGGCTAATACACCAAGGCAACGGCGACGGCGAGAAGAGCTGCGGAAAACGCAGAGGTTCGGACCGATGGGGCGGCGCTGGGAGGCGGTGGAGCGGTTGCTGGAGATGGAGTTGAAGGCACGGTGTCAGATGAAGGCGGAGGAGTGGTGGCTTCACTGCCGGTGACGTTGACGGCTAGTTTCTGGCCGATGTTGCAGTGGCCGGCGACCGTGCAGATGTAGAAATGTTCGCCGGGTTCGGAGAGAGTGATTCTGACCGGCGGGTTGGTGGAAATAGAGATCGGCGATTCGCCGCTGCAACTGCCGTAATTGTCCTTCGTTACCTTCGCTACGTTGTGGGTTTGAATCACGAAGTTGAACTCTGCAACAAAAATTCGCCGGAGAAGATAAGTTTTTTTTTCATTTCTATTTAATCATTATAAATTTATAATTTAACCAAATTTAAGATTTAAAAGTTTATTCTAATTTACTACCTAATTATATATATATATATATATATATATATATATATATATATTAGTTCTATGATAAAAAAATTTAGAATTCTCTTGTGAGACCTTTTGGGAAGCCCACAACAAAGTTACTAGAGCTTATAATGCCATTGGATGAGTTCTGTTCATCTAAAAGTTTGAATGTCAAATTTTTATCCTTACCGAGAATGTCTCCAACGACGAAGGTCTTGTCCTGAGCCCAGGATTCGTAGAAGGTAGGGTTGTTAGGGACAGACCATCCCAACGAGTCTCCGACAACATATGTCATGGGTTGTCGGGTGGGAGCACGCGACGGGACAGGTGATGACGGAGTAAAGCTAGGTGTTGGAGAAGGCGACCGATCGGAAGAGGAGGGTTCAGGGCTGATAGAGGGAGCGGGGACGGAGACAGGGACAGGAGATGGCGCTGGAGAGCTAGGCTGCGGCGTTGGAGCAGATGTGGCTCTCACAGTAACGGATAACTTTTGGCCATTATTGCAATGGCCGGGAATGGTGCAGATGAAGTGACGGTTACCAGCTGAAGTGAGTGTGATCCTTACTGGACTGTTGCTCTCGGTGGAGATCGGATTGTTGCCGTTGCAAGAATCATAAGCACTTTTTGTCACTTCCGTTACGTCATGTCGTCCGGTTGCAAAGTTGAAAACTGCAAAATTAATAAGATCATGTTAGGAATCACTGCTCTCCACAATGGTATGATATTGTCCACTTTGAACATAAGCTCTCGTGACTTTGATTTAAACTTTCCTCAAAGGGCCTCATGCTAATGGAGAGAGTATTCTTTGATTATAAACTCATGATCATTTTCTAAATTAGTCGAGGTGGTACTTTCATCATCCAACCGACCATAATCTCAAAAGCTTCAATCATACAAAATTTCAGCAAAAAAATCTCGTATCTTACCAAGAATGTCACCGACCACAAAAGTTTTATTGCTAGCCCAATCAGTATAGATATTGGCATTGGGTGGGTCGATCCAACCCAATGAGTCACCGACCATGTAGGTGGCAGCGGACGAGCATCGCCACAAAGTTGCCGCCGCGACGAGGAGGAGAACCACCATCCGGTTAAATCCTACGGCCATGATTTGATTTGATGTTCTCAGGTCACCCTTGTGATAGAGCTCTTTGAGTTGTAGCTTTTGGTAGAAGAAGGGGATAGTTTTTGGGTATTTATAGAGTATAGGAACTTAAACATTGGTGGAAAAAGACCATTGGATGAAGGACACGTGTCCAAAATGGACGGATATTAAGCTGCCGCTGGACTACGCCGCGTTAGATTTTCTTTACCAAACATGTTGGTGTGAGTCTTTGACTTTGTCGCGTTGACTAGTCAAGGCTTCACATGGAGAGGTGGAAATCGTTGACTAGTCACATGCAAAATATTTCATTTTTTTTTTAAAGACGGTTTCAAACACCCAAATATTAAAATAAAATTATATATATATATATATATATATATATATATATATATATATATATATATATATTTATTTACACAGAAGCTTTTTGGGAAACTAAAAGTAAAACGAACATGGCCCACCTCAAATTCTTTGGTTAGTCTCATATGGATCGCGCGACACGATCATACTTTTTTAACCGTGCGGCGTCGTGATCTTGACACACTTACAATCAGCCTTAAGGAGAACTCAAGCTCATATTCATTTTTCGCCCATCTTTGTGGGTTCGTCGGTTTGTTGATAAGGTTTGTTTTTGTCAATTGAACATAAGCTTGTTTGGTCACAACCGATGTTCATGTGTGCATGTTCAATCGTTGTGGCAAAGCAATGTCGCATCTAACTCAAAAACTCCATTGAGTTATATACTATTTAAGTCACTGTGTTTTTCTTTTTGCTTATAACTCTATAACGTTGCTTTCTTCAATTCTTTCAAATTGCTTATGCATTTTCTCATTTACGGTTTCTAAATAAATTCTCGCAAATGTGATTGCGGCTCGAGTATATGCCTACGTTCTCCGCAAAGTCAAAATTTCTCACGACTGACTTATTTGCTGGGTTAGAACAAGTACTGCACAGTCGCTAACCTGTTGTCGCAAGAGTGTGTTTGTGAATCCTCAGAGTTCATTAGCACATAGAGATCTTTATCCAATCTATTATAGGTCTAATTCTTCATGTGTAGGTCACCTAAATTATAATAGCATCATCTTTTTATATAAGAGGAACAAAATAATTAAAATTAAATAAAAATGACAGATTATTAATAAAATATAATTTAAGACATTTTGTAAGTCAACAAAGATTAATAAACTCATTTTTATTTAGATCCATGATTAAAAAATCAAATAAAAAAGTTTTGAGATTCAAGAACAACTTTATTAAATTCCCAATTGGGAAGAATTAAAAAAAAACATCAAAATTAAAATAAAAATAAAATAAAGTACACACAAAACGAATCGAACTAATTTCTTTTTTTTTTTTTTTTTTTTTTTTTTTTTTTTT